TTTGGTCAATGACATGAGACAAAGTATATGTGAACTGCTGTTATGAAAAGTGAATTTACTCTGTAAATCTTCACCCAAATCCTAATTAAAAAAAAAAAAAAGTCTAGTAAGTGACAAGCACATTTGATGTCAGAAAACTGCAAGTTACAAATGCACATTTAACCTTTTCCAGCAATCTTACATTATCCTGAAAGTTCACCTTCTCCCCTCTCCGAGAAGACTTTACAATCTTTATGGGCTTCTCAAAACTCCAGCCTTCCCATATCCTCTGCCCATTCCATTCTCAGTTAATGCCCTGCTTCATAATTGTTATAAAATCAAATGAGAATACATCCAACTTCCCATTACCATACCCTTAAATCAATATGCCTCTCTACCCATCATTATAAAGACATGCATGAAAAACATCAAATTCAGAATAGTAATTACCTCAAGGGATGAGGGAGAAAAATGTTATTAGGTAAAAGTATAAACTGTATTTATAACTTTTTATTTCTTGGATGATCAGTGCATGGGTACTCATTATATTATTCTCTATTCTTTTTGTATTTCATAATTTTTAAATAAAAAATTCTAAAATGACACAATTAATTTTTGTGTTTAAATTTTTACATATTTTCTTTTTATTCCAATGTTGCATATAACACTGTTATCATAAATGTGAAAGAGCAAAAACTTCAACATTATGGAAATTCCAAACATGAACAAAAGAAAAAAATAACAGTATAATAAACAATCGTGCAGCCATCACCCAGCTCCCACAATTGTCAGTTCACAGACAATCTTGTTTCACACATTGTGGTAGTTCAGTTAGTGTGTCAACTTGGCTGGGCTGAGCTCAGTGGCTGGGCAGCTGGAAATAGTATTCCCATGATGAGATTGGCAATCAACTCCATGGTAGAATCTACTGTGAACAGCTGAGGAGCTGCCTTAGGGAATGTGGTCTGCTTCCTGTATATAAGCAGAAGCCTTGGGGAATGGTCTCTAGCTTATGGCACACTTGGACCCTGCATGTAGCCATGTCATTGTTCAGCAGCCTGCCATGCTCTGCCAACCTTGGGACTTAGAACGGATTAAATTAACGGCCTGCCATGTGGTTTGGTAACATCCGGACTGTGCCTTTTTACTTGTCAATCTTGGGGTTGGCAGCCTCAGCAGCCAGCAGCTGTCTGAGTGAAGAAAAGCCTCTAGTTCCAGTGGGCTGGAAGCTGGAGGCAAAGCTGAACCCCAAGGCTAAGGGGCTTTCACCCAGCCCTTAGAGCCTGGCACTCTGAACTTGGACTTAAAGCCTCCAAAGTGTAAGAGAATAAACTCCTGTTAAGGCCATCCCATTTGTGGTCTATTCCTGTCAGGGCAGTACTAGGTAACCAGAACACACATTATGCACCTAACAAGAACACACACTCACTGATTAATTTTGAAGCAAATCTCAGAGAGAACATTTCCTTTGTAAATATTTCTGTTTATAAGAACTCTTTAAAAATATATAAAACAAAAAAGAAAGCAGAATCAGTCCTGAACCTCACTCCCACTCCTATTTTATCTCTTGGGAATATCAAATTTACATTGATTGCTCTTTGAGGAATGATTTGCATGGTTGAAGAGGAAACATTCTCATCTATTTAAAAACATACACAAACACACACATATACATAAATTTTATATATGTGTGTGTGTGTATATACACACACACACATATACACACAAAAAAAACTACATGAACTCCTTATTCTCTGCTGATAGGAATATAAAATGGTGCAGCCTCTATGGAAAACTGTTCGGCAGTACCTCAAAAATTTAAACACAGAATTATCATATGACCCAGCCATTATACTCCTAGGAATATACACAAAAGACTTGAAAGTGAGGACTCAAACACCAATGTTCATTGCAGCACTATTCACAAAAGCCAAGAGATGAAAACAACCTAGATTTCCACCTACAGAGGGATGAATAAACAAAATGTGGTACACTTTTACAATGGAATAGTATTCAGCCATAAAGATAAACTAAATGCTGATACATGCTACAACACTGATGAACCCTGGAACCATTATGCTAAGTGAAATAAGTAAAATATTGAAAAACATTTTATGATTCCACTCATATGGAATATCTACAACAGGCAACTAAATAAAAACCTGTTGTCATCTGTGCTTCTTTCCTCTGTGCCTGATTTCCTCTTCTATATTTCAAAAAATGATTGGCTTAAAACACATCCTGCACTGGCATGGCCTCATTAACACAAAAAAAGAAATCCCTATTCCCAAATCCACAGGTAAAAGGGTGAGAATTTACAACACGTAATTGTGGAGAGACGCAAGTCAATTCATAACAACACTTAAAAACAGTTAAACTGGCAAATGTTTTGTAATAAATTTATTTTCATGTATTTGTTATATTTTTACCACAATAAGTACACATATAAACGAAAAAAACAAACTCACTGCCATCAAGATGATTCAGACTCATAGCAACCGCCTTTGGGTTTCCGAGCTGTAAATCCTTACGGAAGTAGATTGCCCAGTCTTGCTTCCACGGAGTGGCTGGTGGGTTTGAACCGCCAATATTCTAGTAAGCAGTCAAATGCTTTAGGTGCTACGCCACCAGAGCTCCTTAAATACATACATACATACATATATTTATTCATTCGTTCGTTCATTTATATTTGACTGCTAACCAGAAGGCTGGCAGTTAAAACCCACCAGCCACTCCTCGGAAGGAAAATTGGGCAATCTACTTCTGTAGTGATACTGCCTCGGAAACCCAAGGAGGGGTCGCTGTGATTGGGGCCAATAAGACAGCACATAACAACACCACCACCACCTCTGAAATCCAAGGAGGGTGTTCTGGTTACCTAATACCGCTCTAACAGGAATATACCACAAATGGGATGGCCTTAACAAACAGGAGTTTATTCTTACAATTTGGAGGCTTTAAATCCAAGTTCAAAGTGCCAGGCTCTAGGAGCTGG